CTAGATTCCTCTGCAATATTCCTAGATTCCTCTGCAGTGCTGCAATATCACGAGAGTTTGTTTTTCCCCACATACGTCTCTGATCTCTTCACTGTCTCTGCTTACGTACGGAGCGACCTAACCTGCTGCCATTCCCGTCGCCGGCTTCGCGCTGGCAACACTAGAGTGGCAGCTTGTAACACATGCATACCGTTTTTGTACCGCTGTTACATTGTGTTACTTCATCAGGAGCCGTTGGTCGCGGTGTCCCCGGCTTTGGTGGTGCTATTGTCCAAACTTATTTCTTGCTTTAACCAGAATTTGAGGTTGACATACCAATTTCTTTATTTGGGTACAAATAATTGAAAAGTACCATCGAATTATTACAAGTAAGCGATGTACTTGTTTTATTCACGAAAATAAGCCAGTATAAATCTTAAAAAATGGCAGCCGTTCTACACGCAGACCCCCCCCCAAAAATTCCTGGGTACGGCCCTGTTGACATTGTTGGTTTCAAAGTGTCTGCAAAGTCGGAGTTTTGTTGATTTCAATTGTTCGCACTCCTACTCTGACGTTTCTTCTGAACTGGCGCGTTGCGCGAACCTGTTTTCTGACTCATCAGCTCCTTCCATGTGATTCTTACGTTGAGCGTATACGTCGCGGGCGGTTGGAGTGCATGAAAATTTAACGCGAGAAGTTTCTAGCTGCTAAAGAATAGACAGGCGCTGCCTTTAAGGCTGTATCCTATTTTGCTGACGTTTTTAGGTAGTAAATAAAGAAAACACTCTGGTAAATAAACATAGAAGAAGACAGTGGCCCTCAGCCAGAAGTCACCTATACGTATTAGTAAATTCATCAACGGTTAGCCTAATAACGTAAAATAAAGGAGGGAAGGTGGGACCATAGCCTTCACAATTAGTCGATTAGCTCTTGCTTCAGTGGCACTTTATTTATTTAATTAGTGCATTTATTTTTTAAATATTCGTACGGAACCTGCATGTAACGAAATCCTTTTTATAACAAATTTTTTCAGGAATTTGTCAATACCAATATCTGTATCTGAATTCACTTCAACTCGTACTTAAGTTATTGCAAATTTTGAAGTATCTGAAATGAAGGAATAGGTGTAAAGTCTGCTTTTAGCCTATTGTAAAGGTGGTTTCACTGCAATAGAGAAATGATACATTGTGAAGCCCTCATAGTTAAGTAAAAGTATTACCTTTGCATCGATTCATCATTTTTAAAGTTTAAAAGCACATTATACGAGCTTATATGTTCGGAGTATAGTAAATAGTAAATTTTAAAGCATAACATATTTTACGGGTTATGACTTGCATTCTACCAAACGTCAAGCACTGTCACTATCCAAAGTCATTGCCATTCGCATAGGCCTTGTTTTAACTAATTGGATTCTGACATATGCAGATGAACACAGATAAATTGAACTTGAAGAGGATCGCGAACTAGTTCAATATATGAAAATTTCAATATAAAAAAAATAGAGACCCCGAGAGCTTGCCTGTAGCGAACCATCACCTACGATAGGTGCATTCAAGCATGACAACTAATTCCGCACACCAACGCAACAGAATGAGATGGAAAAAAATATATATATCCTTGGCCTGCTTTTTCGTTTTTGAAATGAAGACGCTAATCTTGATCTTATCACAGCTCACCAAACGCGCCGTTTATGCGCTTGTCGTCTTCACCGGTTTCTGCAAGTTCTGCCGTCTCGAAGCCTGCCTTGTGGAAGCAGTTGACCTCTGTGTCCGTCTTCACGTCTCGCCTGGCATTGAAGATTTCCGCGGGAGAAAACTTTGTGGAGATTTCCGATCACTCCTTCGTCATCCACTTGTGGATGTCCTGACTGGTAACAGCGTTGCTTTCGCCAGAAATGGATTTGCCAACGATGTTGTAGCGTTGCTTAAATCGGTGAAGCCACCCGCTGTTGTCAGTGAAAATGTTTCACCAAGTGCAGCGGAAAACCATTTCACCTTGGCGATCAGCATTGGTCCATCCACCGGAATGTTCTTCGAGCGAAATTCTAAAAACCAGGCACAGAGTACCTTTTCTACATTCCCAAGGGCAAAAGCGCGCACATGAAAGGCTCCCAACGTTCGCTGCTCCGCCGCCTCTGCCTTGATTTTTAACAAGATACTCGGAGCGTTCCCTGGTAGTGTTGAAGTGCATCTTCCAGCTGACGTGGCGTTTGATATATTCGAAGGTGGGTACAAATACCGTTTGATATAAACGTGCGAATTTCTATACTTTTACAAAGGAATCTTAAGGGGATAATTTGAGAGTTCAATATAGCGCTGTTTAAATCGATCAAGCCACCCGTTGTTGTCGGCGAAGTTGTTTCACAGAGTACAGCTGCAAACCATTTGGCCTTGGCAATCAGCGTCGGGCCATCCACCAGAATGTTCTGCTCGCACACTTCTAAAAACCAGGCATAGAGTGCCTTTTCTACATTCCTGTGGGCAGGAGCGCACACATGACAGGCTCCCGAAATTTGCTGCTCTGCCACCTTTGCCTTGGTATCTGCTTTGTTTTTCAACAAGGTACTCGGAGTGCTCCGTGGTATCCCGAAGTCGTCCGCGATGGTCGCCCATTTCTCGCCCACTTCAGCACACTGAATAGCCTTCAACTTTGTCGCAAAGTCAAGGGTTTTGCATGTGCACAAGCTAGAAGTGCCGAAGCACACTTTCCAGCTCCTGCGGCATTCGAATATTCAAAGGCAGGCAATCAAACCATTCGATATAAAGGTGCGAATTTCTATAGTTTTAATACGGAATTTTCAGGGATAACTTTCCAGGGATGTTTGCTGTTTTTTCAAAAGTTCAGCAGTTTTTATATCATTTTTATCACTGTGTTTTTCTTTTTTTTTTCTTGTGTGTGCGTCTTGGTGCTGTCTACTTCGTGCACGCGCGTGTGAGCGACGCCGGGATGGCTTCCCCTCCGTCTCCTGCGGCCCCAACTCCCGCAGCGATCACGGCGAAGTACGAAGCAAAGGATTTGGCTGCGAAGGTGAAAATATTGAAGGCGTTGCAAGCAGGAGCATCTCGAAAAGAAGTGATGGAAAAGTTCAATGTGAAGAAAAGCACGCTGAGCACTTATGTGAAGAGTGAAGAGCAGAATATGCAAGCATATGACAGGGACATGTTTGGTGACCAAAGGAAGAGGCTTCAAACGGCAGCGCATCCCAAGCTAGAAGAAGCGCTCGCTGGATTGTGGTTTCGCGCAATGCGTGTTTGCCCTTGAGAGGCCCCCTTATCTGCGCACAAGCAGAAAAGTTCGCGGCGATCGTGGACATTGACTTTTTCAGTGCATCAGCAGGCCGGTTCAACCGCTTCAAGAAGCAACATGGGCTGATGTCCCACAACATGCGGGGTGAAAGAAGTGCGGTTGGCGAAAGTTTTGTGCAGGACTGGGGGTCTGGACTATCCGCGCGCCTTTCTACGTACGAGCCGTGCAACATTTTTAATGCTGATGAGACATTGCTGTTCTATAAGGCTCTGCCTGACAAAACAATAAGGGGGACCTGTGCGTTGATGGAAAACTAAGTAAAGAGCGCGTGACAGGTCTTCTGGCAGCTAAGATGACCGGCACAGAGCGGTTGCCTCTGTTGGTGATCGGGAAGAATATTAAGCAGCTGCCTGTCGTCTACGGGTTCAACAGAGAGGCTTGGATGACTACCGAACATTTTCAAGCCTGGCGGCGTCAGCTCGACCGTCGCTTTGCGGCCAAGGCTTGGAAGGTGTTGTTCGAGCTAGACAACTGTAGTGCGCACACGAAGGTGTCCAGGCTCGAACACATTGTACTGCTATTCCTTCCTCCGAACACAACGGCTTCCCTGCAGCCGATGGACCAGGGAATCATACAGCTCGTGAAAAGCCGCTATCGACGGTGGGTACTCGAGCAGATGTTGCTCTGCATAGAGCCAGGCAAGCAGTACGAAGTAAGCCTGCTAAGCGCAATCCACATGATGACATACGTGGGGAATAACACATCACCTGCACTAGCCGCAAACTAACTGCTTTAGGCATAGCAGCTTCATGCACGACGCTGCTGATGCTGAGGTGGTGGCCGATGAAGAAACCGGCGAAGAGCAAGACAGCGGCTATGTGAGCACCATGCCGGCTGATGTGCCCCTGGACGATTACTTCGCAACTGACAGCGATGTTGCCGTGGTCGGCACAGTGACCGACAGCGTTATCGTCGCCAAAGTCTTGGACAGCGCAGGGGAATTGGCTGACGAGGACCTAAGTGATGCTGACGAGCGTCCATGCCACATTATGACAGAAGCTGCGCATGCGTTGGCCGTTTTGGAGGACATATGCGTGCTTTCCTCAGACAGTGTGCGCAGGCTAAACCACCTGCAGGAACTTCGCAAAATTGTGACTTCGTCGCACATTGCGTCCATGAAGCAAACCGCGAGCACAGCCTTTTTCAAGAAATAGAAGTCTGATGGTGTAGGAGACATTTTTCAAGTGTTTAGTTCGTACTCAAGATAATTCGTACCCTTTGTTAATTCAGACGTTCTCCTCCGGTCCCGTGAAGTCCGAATTAACGGGGTTTTACTGTATATCAAATTTTAGGGTATATCTTGTTGGTTTAAAGGAGTAACCCTGAATTGTAGCTCTGAATTGTAACTGAAAGCAACTCTGAATTGTAGCAGGATTTGACTTGCAATAGAATGCAAGTGATAATTTATAAAATGTGTTATGTTTTAAAATTTACAATACTTATAGCATATAAGCCGGCATAAAAAGCTCTTAAACTTGAGAACTGGTGAATCGATATCAGGATATTGTGTTCATTCAACCTCATAGTAGGGATTTGCGGCACTGTGGATTTTTTCTGGACAGGTGCATTCACGGTATAGCATCGTCTGCCACAGTGAAAACACTAAATCACTATTTGCTTCAAACCTATAGGTTACTATCTGAATATGCCTTGCTAAATCATTTCAGAAAAGCAGGCAGTGCACCACAGTGCTTAATATATAATTTCTCTTGCAGCCAGATGTTGGTTCTACCTCCTTTCCAGAAGATGGGCTTGGGCACTGAGCTGCTGCAAGGAATATACAACTTTTACAGTGACCGACATCGCAAGTGTGTCCTGGACATCACAGGTGTGTGTACGTGCCTTCGCAGCTGCTGCCTTGCTCTTTTATTTTGCTGATTTTATGCAAGCTGTGCTGCAGTGCACTCCATTGTTATTTGATAACGTTCCTGTATCTTCTCTGTGTTGACTCCAGTTCAAATTTCTGACCTCGTGGAACTGTGTAAACGACAAGAGTTGGCCGTGGGCACACACTAAGGTCTAAGCTGACATATGCCTGTGTGCCTGCCGGTGCTTTTATTAGGTGCACTACTGGTTATGTTCATGCCACCATGAACGATCGTTTCTTTTTTGATCAAGTTGTCGCCTGGGAACTCTGCATAATAGAAACAGTTTTGCACATATGCTGTGCGAAACTGTTATTATGCCTATCTTATCTGTATGAATACAGTGCAGTTTAAAGTGCTGCTCCAACTGCTACAAACTGCTCCAAAAAGATAAACGCTGCTTCATAATGGTATATTGGGAAAAGTAAAACAATGGACTTGAACTCTGTGATTCTTAAGCAAGCCTACATGAGACTAAAAACAGGCTATCGAACTAGGCTATCCTAGTATGCAAGTATGCGGCTTCCTTACTAGCTGCACGTTAGCATATTAGCGTTGCCAGAAGTTCTGGCAGTATACATATCTGATTCATGCGCATATTTGTACCTGACAAGCAGATAATTTTGGTGGATTGTGTGCAATAACAGTTCAATACTATAGTGGTTACTGACTTCTGCTGCGACCACTATGATGTGCGACTGATTACATTTATTATTATAGCAGGCTCGACCTCATCTATGGCACAAGAACTGGCATATTTCGTCAGTAGCTTCCTTTTAATTTTTGACGCTGGCTATTTTTTGATAGTTATACAATACGAAGTTGAATCGTGATGCTACTACAGGAACCCGTAGTTGTGTATGTACACTGCCAGTGTGTTAGCTTATTCTTAGATTTCAGGCAAAAGTTTTCACCAGAACCTGGTTGTTGGAACAGTTTTTTTCATTTTTGTTTTGTTCCACTGTAAAAAGTTTCGTTTTTTCTGTTCTGGAACAAAAAAAGCTTTCTTGAAGTATGTTTTATTATTTATTTTTTTCAATGGAGGCAAAAATGCTGTAGGCCCGTGTACTCAGGTTTGGGTGCACGTTCAAGAACCACAGGTGGTCAAAATTTTCGGAGCCCTCTGGTACGGCGTCTCTCGTAATCATATGGTGGTTTTGGGACGTTAAACCACACGTATTAATTAATAATGTTTTATTATTTTGCTAGCAAAATTTTCACGTGCAAGAAATGATAAGAATCTAGGATTTGTGATACAACAGGCTCTTCCCGTGTTCTGAAGAGAGGCGCAAGTAATTACCTCATATTTCTGCCAATTAATACAAGCAGTACCCTTATAAGTGTCTAACTTTCTCAAAACTTAAGTATTTTCTCAGCAGGCTCGGTGCTTGCGTTGAGGGAGTGAGCATGATCACAGAAGCAGCCCTTCATTGAGGGTACTCTCTGAGCTGCGAGACTACTGTGCTGATGGTGCAAAATTAGGCTCTGAAAGTGCCCTCTTTACGTGCGCGACTTGTACATGAAAGCCCGCTTGCGTAAATACATATCGCTTTCGTGGCCACTGTTTATTTTTTTTTAATTTTAATGCACCTTTCCTTTGGAATTTTCGCCAGAAATACATGCTACAGTTAAACACTGATATTGAACTCTCAAATTATCCCCTTAAGATTCCTTTGTAAAAGTATAGAAATTCGCACGTTTATATCAAACGGTATTTGTACCCACCTTCGAATATATCAAACGCCACGTCAGCTGGAAGATGCACTTCAACACTACCAGGGAACGCTCCGAGTATCTTGTTAAAAATCAAGGCAGAGGCGGCGGAGCAGCGAACGTTGGGAGCCTTTCATGTGCGCGCTTTTGCCCTTGGGAATGTAGAAAAGGTACTCTGTGCCTGGTTTTTAGAATTTCGCTCGAAGAACATTCCGGTGGATGGACCAATGCTGATCGCCAAGGTGAAATGGTTTTCCGCTGCACTTGGTGAAACATTTTCACTGACAACAGCGGGTGGCTTCACCGATTTAAGCAACGCTACAACATCGTTGGCAAAACCTATTTTGGCGAAAGCGAAGCTGTCAGCAGCCAGGACATTCAGCAGTCGATGGCGAAGGAGTGGCTGGAAATCTCCACAAAGTTTTCTCCCGCGTAAATCTTCAATGTCTGGCAAGACCTGAAGACGGGCACAGTGGTCAACTACTTCCGCACGGCAGGCTTCGAGACGGTGGAATTCGCGGAAACTGGTGAAGACGAGCACATAGACGACACATTTCGCGAGTTGTTGTCCCGGTTCTCGGCAGAAGATCTACGCGAAGTGTCTGCGGATGACTTCATGGAAGCGGACTGCAATGTCCAGGCCGACGGCTCATGTGACGAGGAGGATCGTTCGGACGAGGCGCTAGATGCGCGTAGTTCGCTGCTGAAGTGGCGGCAGCTTTTGGTATCATTCGCCGCTGTGTCGGCCATATAAAAGAAACCATGCTGTCGCACCTGGACAGCCTTGATTAGGTCGAGACTAGCGTCTTCAACATTTCAAAAACGAAGAAGCAGGTCAAGATTAGCGGTTCATTCTGTTGTGGCGTTTGTGCGGAATTAGTTGTCATTCTTGTATGCGCCTATTGTAGGTGATGATTTGCTAGAAAGAAACTCTCGGGGCTTCTATTTTTATTTAATATCTGATTTTTCATATATCGCACTAATTCGCGATCCCCTTCGAGTTCGATATATCTGTGTTCGACTGTGCTGTATTGTACATTGATATTTCTCATGTTATATGACCTCGGTTGCTCTTGATTGCCAAGTTTTCCCGTGAACTGAAAAGCAATAAAAACATTTTGGTTTTTCTCGAAAACGAAATAATAGAGAACGCCTTGGTTGCACTTTTGTTCTTATTAAAACTCTCTTCTCTCTCTAAGTTTTTGTTTCATTCCGAAACACTGGTCTTACAAAAGATAGGTTGTGCTTTGAGCTATTTCTGATTATTAAAGCATCATGACAGACATTTGGTGTAATGTTTTCTTATAGTGAGGTAATAGTAGCGCTCCTGTTACTTGAAGCAGTTCTGCTAATTATTCTATGTGATAATCATTCTGCTGTGTTTTTTATTTCTATTATTTTTTAAAGTCTGCAGTCTGGCTGTCAATCTCCAAGAAGTTATAATAAGTCTCTCGTTGTGTGAGTTGTGCAGTACGCATCTTTCGTGGCACTGTGAATTCATTTATATTTAGCAAAATTTGGTGTTAGCATACTGTGTGTGCGGGTGGTGTTCTGTGAATGAACCTATGTAGACTGCATTTGTAATTTCCCTTTTCTTTTGCAGTGGAAGATCCTTCGGAAGTTTTCACGAGACTAAGGGACTTCGTTGATGCCAGGAACTGCCTGAGCTTGCCTCATTTTCCAAGGAAAGTTTGCTTAATGGATTCTCAGAAGATATGTGGAAAGAAGCCCAAGAGAAACTGAAAATCAACAAGTATACTGAAGATTCCTTTCTCCTGTACTAACACACTTTTTTGTGTTTAGCTTTATATCTATTCATGTGCCAACTATACACTGGTATGACATTGTCACATTGCTATGCATTGCTTTAGAGAGCTAACAGATAAATAATTAAATTCCAACCTTCCACATGCCAAAACACAATGTGCTTATGAAGCACTCCATATTAAAGGGACCCTGAAACTCTTTTTTGAGTAACCATGAAATTAGTTCACTAGAAAAGCGTATTGCCTCAAAAAGTCAATGCCACAAAAATTTTATGAGTCTGTCCAGTACGAGCGGAGTTACAAAGATTTGTCACACACTGCAATCCACTCTCGCTTCTCTCATCCTGACAAAAGCGCTGGAAGCTAAGCAGGGAGTGATGGAAGGGGCTAACAAAAAACGTCACGCATGCCTCTCGACCTTGAGCACTTTTTCTTTTTTTTTTCTTCGAAAGTGTGGGTTTTCCAGTGTTAACGCAAGCGCACGCGTGAACAAGTAGTGGCTTCCCGCGGCGATCTCTGCAACAACCGAGCATGCCGTGTTCAAATCAGCAAATGACCAATACGCCCAGAATAGATAGGCTTACCACGAGTGATTTTTGGGCTTATCCCGTGGTTCGTCGAGAAAAGAGAAAGCAATCTTCAGCTGACTTTGACAATTTATTGTGAATTCCAGGTCGCGAGCTGTGCATTAATATTTGGCTCGCGTGTTGTCAGGAGCCTCTACTACCGATCGGCAGCGTTTTCTGACCACGCTCGAAAAGTGTTGCAGGGCCCCTTTTTTAAAGTGCTCAGGAATAATTCTTTATACAGGGTGCCCCAGCTCGTATTAGCCAGAGTTTTAAAATGTGTTGATGAAATGTAAGACAATGGGAGCCAATGTATGCTGGTGTATATTGTATGCAGTAAGTCATAGTACATTTTTTAGTCCTACCTAAGTTGGGAGTTTGAGGGGGGGGAGTCATGCATATTTAAAACGACTGAAAAGAGATTATGGTGTCACTCAAGAAGCCCTTGTTAAAAAGATGCAGAGACATAGTCCCCTTTAAAAAAATTTCTTAATGTTTTTTTCTTTCCACCTAAACACTCGCTCGAAAGTCAGCACTTGTTCACGGCCTTACCTTCCTGTGTGCTTGCAACGTTGTTTTTTCCACTGTGCTTACAATGGCTTGAAGCTAGGCCATATCAGTTGGTGGGCGCAATGAAAGTTATGTGGAATGTATCTTTTGTTGAGTTTGTGGTAAAAGGGGTCACAGTTCTAGACCCATTTTTGGATGTACACTACAAACACTAAGTAAGGTTTCTAAGCTAGTAGGCTATATTTTCTTGGAAAGTAGGGATGGCTTGAATGGCAGTTTTCCATGTGCAATTCAACCGAACCTTCTTCAATATAAGTGGCACAAATTCGAAGCTCGGAGAGCTGCCGCGTGCCCCATGCAGTCGTCTTGAGCTACCCTGTATGTATTTTGTTGCATGCCTAGTTGGCTGGTTGTTCGAGACCAGTCATAAGTAGTACATCTGTGTTCTATTGCAGCAAACAGTTTCAGGGCTTGCTCAGAAACACTTGCACATTTGTTTGCGCAAATTCTTGTTTGCGATGACCACATAGAAGAACACGGATGCGTCACTGAGTTTAGACAGGCAATACTATTCACTTATCAGTTTAGGCCAGGGGTCGGCAGCCTGCGATCTACCTGCTGCCCCCGAGGCAGTTTTATATGACCCCCGGCACGGCATTAGAATCCCTCTCCCTCCCCCTTCTCACTTCCGATCTGAAGCCCAACATGGTATTTCTACCTTAAATCGGGTTGTACAGGATGCATAGAAAGATTGCCTTTATTTGGCATTGTGCACCATCCGAACACCTAGCCAGAATTTAGCAAAAATTTATTCTAAACTTAGTAAGTTGTGTATACAGTGAAATCTCGGTGTAACGAACTCCAGGGGGCTGCGGCAATTTGTTCGTTATTTTCAAAGGTCATTATAGTGAAAGCCCAAAAAGTAACCATAAATATTTATTTTCCACTGACAAACTGACTTACCTTTACAATGGTGGGTCCTTGAACTCATTTTTCACGAGAAAGAAACAAATGCAGCAGTGAATACCAATAAATGCACGTTTACTTTAAAGAAGTGTTTTTATCTTCCTTTTTTTTTTTTTTTTGACACGTGCTGCACAAACTATGCAGCGCAAAGGCCTTCACCTCATCCACATTCCTGTGATGTGATTCGATTCTTTGGTCACAACAGCCTGCTTTTTGCCTTCTAGTTCCGAAGAATATTCACCTTCTCGATTAGCGAAAACTGCTTCCGCTTCTTCGTCGCAAGCGTAGATGAACACATTTGTAATAGCACCGCAGCGCGAACGCCGACGTGTTTTGCGGACGCGATAAGTAATTACCAAGAAGAGACGAACACGACTGACAAACAAGGCCTTCTGGAGCATATGTAGAAGTGACAAAGAAAGAAAAACTCGAAGCATCGCCGCTGTCATCGTCTCTTCCGAAGAAAAAAAAAAGTGCTAAAGAAAAATTTCTCGTGTTTCGTGTTCTGCTCCCTTGCTGTCTCAGGTTTTCTGCACCCATGCTCCCTGCTCCACAACTGCCACTCTGCTTCGCTGACCTTGCTCTCCGGTGTGGCCCTTGCCCCTTACCTCTGGGCTTGTAAACCTGCAGCGTAGGCATTTCAGCAAAAAGAACGAAAAGAAAGTTGCCCTTTCGTTTTTTTTTTTTTTTCTTCTTCGCATCGCCGTTCGCTTTGTCGTCTACTTCCGTACCGCTCTAGTAGTCGCGGCGGATTTCAGAACGTGACTTTGTTGTACTGAGGGGTTATTTGTTAATATAATGCGGAACTAAATTAGTGCTCAATATTTTGAAAAGTTTGTTATTCTGAAGTACGTAGTAGTGAAATAATTTTACATTGAAACTATTAGCAGTTGGTGCGGGATTTTTTAAAAGTTCATTATGTGAAAACTTCATTAATTTGGCGTTCGTTCTACTGACAACTCACTGTATCATTGCCATTTCACTAGATTTTTGTTTTCTTCTCTCCCCCCCCCCCCCCCCTCACCACCCAATTTGTCGTCCGACCCCTCAATGTGTCGGCTTCATGTAACATGGCCCCCTTCCTGAACAAGTTGCTGACCCCTGGTTTAGGCCATGGCAGTTTCCTGTTTGTGCAATGAAGTTGCCAAAGTGACTGCCTGATTTGTGCCGTATGCTGGTGTTTGCACACTCATTTTCATCTCATCTGTGAACGATGCAGTACTGTATTCCTTGCAAGGATGTGATGACTGGTATGCAGCTAAGTCTGCTTGTAACAAACTTTTGCACAAATTCTTCAGTATTATGAAGTTTTCTCTTTTCCACTGTTACTCCATAGAAGTACATCTCTTTGTGACTTCTGTGTAACAAAGTTGCAGTGGGAGAAATTCTTGATACAATGAATTTTTTCCACCAACAAGCTAGGAATTTTGTTTTAAATATTGTCATTTGACCTCCATCATGCATCTTCAGCGGTTGCCCCACCAACGACAAAGCACAAAGCGACAGCAGCATGCACAGCGCGTTCCAAGCCCCAGCAACTGCGAGGCAAGAGCGAGTGCTTGTTAGTGCACGCAGGTGTGCACAAAGCGGGCCAACCGGCATTGCTTCAGCCACTAGTATTGCCGCCATTCTTGCCTCTGCGGGCACATGCGCGGTTGTGCAGATTGTGCATCTGCAGATTAGGCACTGGTGGAAACTGTCCGAAACCATGGTGACAGCGAAGATCTTCCGAGGTCGACTCGTTATGCACATTGCCATCTTGTGCCCCGCCACATGTTCGCTAGACCTCGGAACTTCGAGTAGCTTCGGCAATGCGCCGCCTTCTCGCCGAAGCCACTCATAAAGGCCACAGCTAGACAATGATGGAACAGTATTGTAATGATGTACTACGAGCGTTCAATAGTACCGGAGACGCACACATACACACAAAAAAAGTCAGTTTTATCGCACGAGCAAAGCAATGAATACGATAGTAGCAAATTGCAATGTAGTATGAACGATGTAAGGCTGGCAGCTAACTCTCGTGGGTGCGGTATCGGGTAACTGTACAAAACGCTGGGGGAAGAGAATACAGCCACCCCATAGGGAAATGCTCTTTTCACACAGTCTCTTCACATTGAGAGCGCAGCACGTAGAAGTGTATACGAGCCGTGCATTGATTCTGGCCAATATGACGCGTGTGCCAGTTGATTGATATGTGGGGTTTAACGTCCCAAAACCACTTCATGATTATGAGAGACGCCGTAGTGGAGGGCGCGTGTGCCAGTGATAACGAGCGCACCCTTTGAATCGAAGTTTACAGTTGCCGCTCAAACATGTCGTTTCATGCTGGTTAAAGATGGATGAGGCATTTCTTTTCTGCTTGAGCATTTGACGACAGTTCTAACACACTGGGTGGTCCTATCGATTGTGCCCTCCAAGCAACAGAGGTGGGCCGGCTCATGTGATCTCTACTTTAGCAGTGCCCCCTCAATCCTGTGCTTTTACCCACAAGTATTACACTAAACTCTCAGTAAACGGAAATCGGTTTAACGAAACTGCTGCTTAAATGGAACAAATGCTTCTGACAAGATTGGTTTCGTTCTTGCATTGTGCACTCCTGTTCATCTATCACTAAGCGGAACTCCTATTAAATGGAACACATTTTACCGGTCCCTTCAGGTTCTGTTTAATGAGAGTCTACTGTACTTACGATGTGCGGGGGGATGTTATCAATTGTAGCTTTATTTATACAGAGCTTGATGGGAGAACCTCATCGAGAGTGTCCATATTATTGCTATCACAATAATAATGCAGTTTTCTACCACTAAATAAATGTTTTTAGTGAGCTCTACCATCAGTGTTCCTTTTGTTTAATTCGTGCTGTTCTTTTTCAAAATTTTCAGCTGAAACAGTGTAAAACGAAAACCTGTTCACAATAAATTTTTCGAGCATTTGTCGATTATGTTATATGAAGGTTTATTCATATCTTTTATTTATCTCTTGTGTACTTCCAACACTATACTAGATGTTTGGAATCAAAAGAACTGAGTGAAAGAAAGGCCTACATAATGTAATGGAAATATCTGTGTGGCATGTTCCTCCTGAAGAACATGCCTTTCATTTGTGATATGTGTTATTATCAATTTGGGTAGAGTGGCGCTGCTGTTGTTAATTTATCAGTTACCTAACTAAGTGTGCTATAAAGACTAAGTTGAGTAGCTGAAGTTATCTCTAAGCGACTTATATGCATGTGAAATTGTGCACTAGCTTTTCTTTACCCAGAAAAATCTTGTGATATATTCACATGTGAAAAATGTATTCTTTGTGAAATCGCTGTTTCGTCGGTCCTTACTAGTGTGTTTATACTTTAATTACCTTCAACTCTTTTGTTTTCTTTTCTGTAGAAGCAGGCACGGAGAGTATACGAAATTCTTCGATTACGGGCGACAAACACTGCAAATGCCAGCCAGTACAAAGCATATCGCCTGGAAGTGAAGAATCGGCTAAATGCACCCTACCAGGTACAGAGGCTAAAAGCCACTCTTTTAACTACAGTGAGCTCTCGCTTCTACGCGCATCACTTTAACGAACATTTCAGAATAACAATCTCTTCGAAAATCTTCGGCTGTTTTTCTATGTATTCTGTGCAAAAAAATCTTTGTTCCCAAACACTGAATATTTCGGTTGAACTTGGTCTGCAGACTCGGGCTTATTTTTTAGATGGATTTAATTAATTTTTACACGCTACAGCACTGGCGTAGCTGATGCGTGCTGCCCCCAAATCGTCCATCCATTGACAGCAGCGAAACATTATTTGCAGTACCACCGAGACAAAGCGGCCGTGCGGGAAATGAAAACGAGCCACGTGCACTGCAGCATCTGCGCAGGGCTATTGGATTTAGAAAATGTTTCCAGTGTTCGTTTGTATTCGATATAAGAGTGGGACTAAGAAATTGTGATGGGTGAGGCAGGCTCAAATAATGTATCTTTATTTTGGATCTTTATTTTTGTATTTACACCACTGAAAGTTAAGTAAGATAAATTCTCTTAAAAGCTGGAATATGTCTGTTAGTAAACTGTCTTATGCGTAGCTATAAATATGTATTTAGTTTTTCAAAGCAGTGAAACTGTTGCAAGTGAGACGCTGAAGGATGGGGCACTGAAGACGAGTACGTTGCTACTGTCAAGAGTATGTGCAGTTTACACGTTTATTTCGAATGGCAAAAATATTTAAATATTGCATGGAGCTCACACACACTACATTTAAAGCATGCTGGTTACATCTTTTTTTTTTTCTAATCGACAGTACAGGTTCACTGTAAATGAGAGGGCTTGTTCGTGCTGTTTCTGCTTTGGATGCTCATTAAAGGGCCCCGAAACCTTCTAGAGGGGGAAATTCAGTTGTGGTGAAGAAATTGTTCATGAATGTGTGTTGAGCACAGAGCTGGGAGAATTTTTCGAAACGGTGCCATAATAGTGGAGTTAGACGTGTTTGATTATTTAATAACAAGCATTGTCAAATTATGACTTATAGATTGCCACTATCTTTCAAGAGGAAGGTATATAACAGCTGCATCTTGTTAGTACTTAGCTAGGGAGCAGAAGCCTGGAGCGTTACAAAGAGGGTTCAAGTCAAGTTGAGGACAATGCAGCAAGCAATGGAGAGGAAAGTTGAAGGTGTAACCCTGGAGCACAAAAAGAGAGCAGAGTGTATTAGGAAATGAATGGGTGTTAGGGCATCATAGTCGAAATCAAGAAGAAATGGTCACGGGTAGAGCACATAACGCGAAGGGCAAGATAACGACTGGTCATTAAGGATTCCAAGAGAAGGCAAGCGGGTGAGGGGGAGACAGAAAGTTAAGGGGGTAGATGAGATTAGGAAGTTTGCAAGTATAAAGTGGCAGCAGCAAGCACAGGAGCGAGTTGACTGGCGGAACAAGAGAGAGGCCTTTGTCCTGCAGTAGGGTGTAGTCGAGCTGATGATGATGATGACTATCGAAACGGCAGCAATCACTTGTTTCGCCATTTTTTTCGCTATACTCTACGCTAATCTCTTCCATAGCTGCTTTGCTCTCTCGCCGAGCGCCCCTCCCAATTCGCGAGAGAAAGCATACATCATTGCTCACGTGCTGCTCAAAACACTGTCTACTTTCAATTGCCGTGACTCCGTCAACTGCGTGCTTGTTGGCAAACTGCTGCTGCTGTGCCAGCTCGTGCTTATACGAATTGTGTCAGTATGAACCTTGTGTTATGGGCAGCAGTGGCTGATTCGCAAGCAAGCGGGCAGCACGACGAACAAGAAGCAGCACGGACAGCTGCTTGCAGACTTACCGAAAGTCGTAAGCTCTTGCTCGACCACTCACAGCATATTCGTTGTGCGAGTTGGAGATATTCGTACTGCGCTTCACGTGGAGGTCTGAAAGGACCAGAGAGGAGCAGGGATTGTTTCATGGAATTGGCGGCGCGCCAGTGGCTCGTCGCGTTGCCACGTGTAGAGTTGTTGATTGCAGTGGCATTCTGCTTTGTGGAGAATTCAAGTATGAAACCAATCATGCTGGAGGCAGTTGTTCCACATAAGCAGCAGTTCCGTTAAACAGATTATCATTTCCTGAGACCCTGTTCAGATTTGTTTAAAGGGGCCTGAATTCTTGTTCTCGAGGCACGTAAATTTTGTCATATGACTTTCCATAGCCTCAAAGCAAAATGATGTTCATTGTTTCATTGTAACATGTTTTAATACAGTAGACTCTCACTAAACGGAACTATGGCCTCTCCAATACTTGGTTTCGGGCTTGTATTCTGCACCCACGCTCACCTCTCAATAAACATAACTCCTGTTAAATGGAACATATTTTCCTGATCCTTCAGGTTCTGTTTACTAAGAGTCTACTGCATAACGGTGTTTGAGTGAGTTCACTTTGGATGGCTGTGAAACCAAGCCACGATAAAATTTAATGGGTTGGCTGATTGCTGTCAGTTGGCCGTTATTTTACACTTTTATTCAATATATGGCAAACAAGCAGAAAAGCTGACACAGACTTAAAACTTGGATCAATGTTATTAAAGCATCCATCCTAGTCAAGTTCTTAAAGGTGCCTCCTGCTTCTGAACGTGCTGGTGCATTTCCAAATAGAACAGAGCTCAATCGGCCAACAAATACATTTCTGGCATGGTGATGCCCACGTGTCACTGTGCTTTAGAATGCAAGGAATTGTAGTGGTTACCTTGGCAGAAAACATAGCCTGCAGCATGTGCGCTTGTGTGAGCTATTATTGCTAGATGATCATGTTCACATGTCTGCTTAATAGTGGTAATGGCACCACTCAAAGCTTTTGGCATCGTTTCGATAGGTGATCACTCAATGTCACTTTTGCAGTCTCCTGCTGCTTCTTTCTAGCAGGGCCATCTGCATTGTGCACTGCTTGAGCACAATGCTGCTCATGCAGCCATCAGTGGCTTTAGCGAAAGAAAAGAAGCATTCTGCTTCTGGCGTCTGCTAGGCAACTTCCTCAAACCGTGAGATTTGCGTGCAGTAGTGAAAGCCGGGCCTATGTCAAACCCAAGCAGCCTGGAGTTGCTGTGTTACTCGTCTGGATTTTCGCAAAGTGAAACTTCTGCTCCAACAAATTTTTTTGTATTGCCAGAGCACTTTGTTGTACTAGCTGGAGTTAACTTGATAGTTAGTTCACGAATGCAGCCAAGCCAACACATAAATGCACTTTAATGAAACGAAATATTCACATGATGTAACAAACTGTTCTACTTCTTCAACTTAATGTCCACAAATGTATGTTTAGATTTAGTGAGTGTATTTAGCTTTGATGTACTGGTGAAGTGTGTTCATTTCATATCAATGAACGAGTGTGCTGTCAACCTCTGTAGAGTTTTTGCCCCGCGGTGCCCTGTGTCGTAGTCATTGTAGTTAGCTCGGACAATGCCAAGCAAGAGTTGGCACTGCGGTCCTGAGGTGGCACCAGTGGCGCTGCTTGGTGTGAGTGAGTTCATGCAGGGTCACGAGGAGGGGAGATCTTCCTCGTTTGGGGCTTGGCGCAGCGGTGGATGGTCGGCTGTAATACCGCCTTTTCTAGATGGCACTTGCTGAACACCAGTTTTCTCAGTGCAAATGAGAAACCTGGTGAGTCTTGAAATCCTCAAATTTTAGCGAACCCGAGAGTTTGCTGCATATTTACGATTTGAAAAAGATTGTTGGCCTAGATTTGACTAGATGCGTGACTTTCACTCGTACATGGTGTGTTTCTGCCCTGGCAAAAGCGTGTCCAGTGTTCTACTGGACACGCTTCACAGTTTCTTTGCATTATCTTCTTCTGCAGAAGCAAAAAACCGACATAGAGAAGATGCAGCGGACGATGTCGCCGGAGGAGTTTCGTGCCACGTTGCAGTGCCTCAACGCCGAGAACCGCATTGAGCAGCTGGAGAGCCAGTACAGGGACTTGGAGATGGAGTACAGGCGCACCATTGAGCGCTTGGCCGTCGCTCCCAGGAGCTGATTGGGCAGAGGATACCTCCACCATTGTGTTACTGCACCGTTTCATCCCGTGTATGAAGTGTCCGTGTTTGCTTGCTTGGTCCATGTTCCGCATGTCTTTTCTCACTTGAGGGAAACTGCACACTGTTATTTGGTACAACGCTATCCTCGTCGCACTGACACTTTTGAAGTGGAGATATTTTTTTCTTTATACCGGGGTTCTGAGAAGAAGCTTCTGTATAAACATGTTGAGAAGTTCCAATGTTCGATGTCAACTAACTAAATTTCGGCAAATTTACTTTTGTTTTTTCCACATAAGTGACAGAGTCAAACGCACCCTGACTGCTTGTGGTATGTCTCTTGTGCTGGCCACCTCTTCTTTTTTTCATAGAAGGCTTGTCAACAATTTGGCTAATAAGTGCTAAGTTCGCAACCTGTTGAACTGTTCAAAGAATATGGGCATTGCAGTGATATGAACCATGCCAATTGCATGTCCGCGGTAGGTAATTATTCATGCAGTGAAACAGTCTAAAGAGATACTATCCGCCCCAACCTGTCAGTGTTGTTGGCGTTACGAATGTCAGAATTTAATGTAAGACATGAACTCATATCGAGCTTGCACATTTTTTTCAAAAACTATAATGCATCCTTTGTCTGATGCACTTTTATGTAGTTGTAAAAAGGGTAGTTGTTTGGAGCTCCAAATCTGTCTGTAGCAGTCGGCATCCCTCACTTTGATCCTAACCCGGTGCAGGGTAGCATACCGGATCTCAACATCTTGTTATCCTCCCTGCCTTCCTTTTGTTTTCTCTTTTCTCTCTCTCTGGCATCTCTCTAAATAAAGCAAGATTGCTTCCACATGTACTTAAATAGAAAAACCATATTTAGCCCAAACATAACTCTTCTGCTTCGCACGGTCAGACATTAGTTTGGAGAAGTAGTAATCATCCATTGCACTTGTTGTGGACACGCGTCTGCTTGTTGTTGCTTGACATGTAAAAATTGTTGGTGCATCTCATGTTAACCTTGTAGGTGCCCTGCTAATACAGTGGCTTCAGTAAAATAAACAAAGCATTTTGTTGTATGTAGCCATCCTTTGTAGAAAAATAACGCAGAAATAACATCTTAGCACTCAAACTAAATATAAATCGAATGCGCTTTTCTTTTTTGGCAAAGAAAAGACCACTGGGAGTTAATGCTATGTAGGTGTTGGTGTCAGTGAACATTTCCCGGGTCACGTAGAGGAGTCATGATGTATTGCACCTGTGTCTGGGCGACCGGGACACTGTCGCTAGCCATAGCAGCGGAACCGATGTGACGTCCGCTGCGGAGATTCAGATCCGACTTCCGTAGAGACTACCCCGCACCTCCACCAAAATGATATGCACAGGGTTCTGAGCCCGCAACACTTCTATCTCTTCTACGGCCTCTAGTCAACACTGGCACCGGCGCCTACGTAACAATATAGTATTAGCGTGTCTTCAAGTCTAGCACTGAGCAAAAGTCGAAACCGGCGAACGTTATCCTCGCAAAGCTTTATTTAATCTCCAGCATGCTTAGGCAGCACTTTATTACAGCGGAAAACAAATTATGTCATCTTCCTTATGGTTGGCGCCATCTTTGAAGTTCTTCATGCATGAAACGACTCATCAACAATCACAAACGGGATGGTGGCTTTCGCTGTAAGTAAAAAGGGTGCCTTTTTGTCCCACAACATTGATCGTCATCTATCTTGCGTTCCATTCCTTGCATTATCCCAATGTGCCTGGGACTTTCAGATCATAAACAGCATGCACACTATCAATGCGGCTTCCCACTCTGGATACGGAAGTGGCCAGCGCTGAGTTTTGAAGAAAGGAAGCACAAGCAAGCCAGATGATGATTATTGTTGTGGGACAAAAAGACACCCTTTTTACTCAATCCTTTGTAGTTTCACTAGACAAACACTTTTCAAGTCTGTCTTGCAATGTGTGATTCTGTGGAACACAGAAGACACGCTATGCTGCTTGTTGTCATCACCTGAATAAGTAAAACAAAGTATCGATTGAAAGTGCACTCATAATCATACTGAAACTGGCGTCTTGTTATGCTGCCCAAAGTCACCGGTCATGGTAGCCATTTTGAGGTGCCGGTGGCATTGACAGCGGTAAAACTAGCTCCGAGTTGTTACGAACGCAGTATTGGTTTCATGCTCGTTTCCACTGCCATATTAGTTTTCGAGCTAGTTTTCTGTGATGTGAAGAAAAATGCTAATGTGTGCTTTACAATCTGATAAATGCTGTAATTGCTTGCTGTCAGCTACCGTTTTCGTGTTGAGATCTTCCTGTGACAGGTTGAAAATAAGTGATTTTGGTGGGAGATGACGTGTGTTAAATGCACAGACTATTCAGTAAAATATGATCATCCAAGTTCTAGTCAACTGCCAAAGGCTAACATTGAAAACATTTTTAATGGAAGTTTGACCAGGACACTCATTCGATATCGAATTTACCAAATCCATGTTGCAAAAGTTAACGGTATCTATCTCTGTCGTTTCGCTCATTGTCAAATGTTGTGGTTTATTAAGCATCTGAAAATTGCACACTAAAACAAAACTTAATATAATAAGGAAATGTTGCATGATAAAAGTGTCAAAGCAATTGTAGAGCACAGATTAATTCCCTAACATCATAAAATAAGCTGTTTCGTGCCATCTTGCGAAGCCATGCAAAATGGAGGAATCTACATGTAGTTCACTCTCATTAAATTGAACCTGAAGGCGTATAACTGGAGTTACATTTACTGAGAGATGAACAGAGGTGGAGCATACGAATTCAATTTGTCAGAAGCACTTGTTCCAACAAAGCTGCAGTTCTGATTATCGAGAGTCTACTGTGGTACTTCTACTACCTTCGATCCCGCTTTCATTAAAAGCTTTCAAATTCCACAGAAAGTAAACCTTGGATCGACAGATTCTGCATTGCATGTTGATGGTCCAGTTGACAAGCTACTGTTTGGGTTGGCAGGCTCGATTGTTAGCCTAACATACAATCTTACTTTACATTGTCATTTGGATTTGAACGTGTTACTGCCGGCAATGGTTAGAATGTGTGACGTATGTCCCTAAACTGGACAACATTGGTCTGACATTGGCGTTGTCTGTATTGTTACTTAGCGTGCAAGCTTGTTCGCACTGTTCACGTTTAAAACTCTAGTAATAGTTGTGCGAAACTGAACAATCTAAGAATGTGGGCAGGCTTGAATCGGAAGCCTTTTTTTTTTTTGAAAACAAAACAAACTGACAAAAATATACCTACTCTACACAGGGCTAATATGTGCCATCATATTTCAATAAACTTCACTACCTTCTTTTGGAGCTATAGTGTCGTGCTCTTTTCTCTAGTGTTAGCAGCTCGTTGCAGTTTTGTGTGTATACGCATTTCTTGTGCCTGAAAGCACAGACAGAGGCAGTTGTGCTCGTCGGCATGTGGTAACTTGTACATTAGTCACAGTCAACTTGTGTGTGAAAGAGTGGGTGAAAAGCATCGTCACATTGTATGATCATGTAGTTCCGAGTAATTGATCATTCAGACTTTATTATGGGTGTTGAGGGCAGATACTTGTATAAGCCTCAGTACATTTATAAATCGTACTGCATGACTTGCAGGTTGTTTCTCGTGCAGGGCTGTAATTTTGTTCGGCTGCACATTCACGTTCAGTTTGCCTTTTTTCTTTTTGGAAATAAAGTTTTCTTCTACTATTCCATCAAGTCTGTCCTTTTTATCGTGTGTCCCCACCCTCACAACTGGCCACTAGACAGCCATATATGCTAGACCAGTGGTTCTCAGCCATGGATGTGTAGGTGGAAGTGATGGGGGACCCCTTGCAGCAGAAAGGAGAAAGGGGAGGGATAAGTAGGTAAATTAACACAACTGGAGTGTGAAACAGGTGCCTTTTATTGCTACTGAAAACATCAAACAAATGTGCCACATCCCTTCATTTTGGACAGTTCATCAATACATGGCAGAGTCGTACTAAGAGAAAAATGCAAATGAGGGTTTTGCGGATCATAAAAATAGCTTCGGAGACCCCCTAGGGTCTGCGGACTTCCATTTGAGAACCACTGTGCTAGACATTGTAGCAAACTTCCTATTTCCTTCTGCAATTTATTCCTTAATTTGTAAAGGAGTTACCAATTAGTGCAAAAAAATATGCGTTCCCTCGCGAGACGGCCTTGCATCGTGCTTCTAGTATGGTGTCCCTGTAACTCCAGTGGATGCTGGTCATCTGTCGAGACTTCGGTCACAAATGCTAATATACAGGCGAATGCGCCAAAGTACTACATGTAGAGTCAATATTGGACAATAAATTCTACAGGACACCTCTATAGCTTCTGTACAATGAAGGCTTGTGTGTACACTATGCCATATATCAATCTGTGGGAAAAAAAAACGGTTATAAGAGACTCCTTCAGCAGTGATATACTTAGAGACAAGGAGTTTGTAAGAACCATGCTTTGCAATTATCACAATATTTGCATGACTTGTAGAGAATATTGTTTCGACTGAAAATATAATTGGAGTTTTGCATCCCTAAACTACTCTATGCAGCGACAGACGCCGTAGTGAAGGGCTCCTGAAAGTTTGACGACCTGGGGTTCCTCAACCTACATCTAAGCACATGAAGGCCTCCAGCATTTTGTATTTATTGAAATCCGGCTGCGGCATCCGGGATTTGATTCTGCGAGCTGCGGGTCAGCAGTTGAGCAAGATATGCACAAGACCACTTCGATGGTGGTGTCCCAACTGAAAATGCATAAACAATTACAAACAGCTCACATAGCTGAAGTTGAATGCATTTATTTTGCCAATTCCTTATTACTGAAACAAACCTCATATATGTACAAGTATGCTATATTTCTGCTGCTCAGCAGCATGGTTAAATGCCTAAGAAGGAAAATCTAATCTGGGTGTTGACAGTTGCGAGCAACCGTTCACGCTAAAGGTGGCTTAACTATGACCATCCCATGATGCCATCCAGCAGCTGAGGAAAGCGGTTCAGGTTCGGTTCTGGAAAGGTCCTTAGTCGGCTCGGTTCCATTTCCTCCAATGTCACCTGAAGGTCTCTGCGAGTGCATGCCCACAGATCACAGATGGTGAGCGAAGTACGAGAAGTAAATCAAAAGTGTTGAGGCCATGCATGGGATGAGTGAAATTGAAAACATTATTTATAAAAAAAAATTCATCACAAGAGAGGCGCATTCATCACACACTTCATTTATTGATATGTAGGGTTTAACGTCCCGAAACCACCATATGATTATGGGAGACGCCGTAGTGGAGGGCTACGAAAATTTGACCACTTGGGGTTCTTTGACGTGCACCCAAATGTGAGCACACGGGCCTACAGAATTTTCGCCTCGATCGAAAATGCAGCCGGGATTTGATCTAGCGACCTGCGGGTCAGCAGCCGCAGTAAGTTAGCCACTAGACCTATGCGGCGGGGATCACACATTTCATTCTTCTAGCAAAGCAGCAAAGACTAAACCAGAATACCTGCCACGTCATACTAAAAAAAAGATGTTTAGAATAAGGGAGGAGTGAGCTAGTTGGTAAGTATTCACTCTAAAAGACAGGGCATGCAAACGTGGACACAAGGAAGTACTCAAGATGCCATAGATGCTAACAACTGCAAAGACGCACAACGGCAGAAATGAAACGCTTGAAAACTAAATAATGCACCAATCGATCCCGGCGGAAATAAAAAAACGCTCAAAAACTAAATGGTGCACCAATCAATCCCGCACGTACATGAGTCTACGTGACATAACTGTAAGGTCATTTAATTTTTTTTGTTATACAAGTCAACTGCTGGTTGACTCACATGTGTCATCAATATTATTGGTATGCAAAGCCTCAGTCATGAAACGCATTTCTTTATTTCGTGCCGGTACAAAACTGTGCATTCATTGAACTTTGGCGTGCGCTTAAACTCTCTGCAATGTAAATAAAGATTAGAAGGTGCGCCTCTGGTTAGCGATCTCATATGTTCCAAAAACCTCAGGTTAACACATTAACGCAGTGGCCTGTCTGTCCTACGCAAACTTCTTTCTCGTGAAAGCCCCATCTTTAAGAATAAAGAAAGTTTTTTGAAAATGCAATTGAAATTTTACAACATGACTGACAAGGCCCAACTGGGTTAGGACCTAAAGTGAATCTGAATGTGTGATTGTCTTGATGCCCAAAACAAGGTTCTCAAGCACGTGGACTTCATGCTTTTGCTGGCGGCCGAGCCCACACACGACTGTTTTTGTCCTGTATTTCCGAGTAAGTAGGGTAGGTAAAAACTGTATTTTTCGTTTTGAAAAGAAAGGGGCAATAGGATAGAGACGAGGAGAGATTGCTACACTTGGCGCAACCCTCTGTGCCCAACCCAGGATGACCTCCCGGACATCAGGTTTCAAGCAGCACACGGCAGCCTCCCACTGCTCCTCATTGCCTAATACTTGTTGCAGGAACAGGGTAAGCAGGGCGTTCATGAGCTACGCAGACGTGGCTGGATTCGAGATTTTTTTTTTTTTTATGAGACACCCCATTTTGTTACCACGTGAAACGTAACCATGGAATAAGAACTCTGCATGCAGATTTCAGTCGTGCTGAAGATCACGGTTAAAAAGGTTTTTGAAATGTGATGCCAAATCTTTCTCTTTCAGAAATGAACCACGTACGAGATACGGGACAGGCTTGCTTTGAGTGCCAAGGTTAGCTCATATTTTGTTCAAACTCCTTATCACCGCCGCTTTTCCAACCTTCTTCACTATTTACACCTATCATATGATGGAATTGTGCAGCAGTGGCCCACTAGCTGAGGAGAGCTTGAGACCCTCTTCCTAAACAATCAATACTCCTGAACACCTTATATTATGCTCACAAAGCTTGGTCAAGACAATTCCAATTAGGACCGGTATGCTCGCAGTACAATCTGTGGATGTTAATTTCAGCTACTGACTTGCAAGTGCAGTAGAGAAGGTAACCCTCCTTGTGCAACTGGCCTGCCAGTTCGCTCTGGTGGTTGTGAAGCAGCTTGTCATTCACTACTGCAACGAGCTTCTTCCCGGCTCTCAGAGCTTGGAGTATACTGCCTGCACCTGGAAGAGAGGTTCACATGAACACCCGCGGGGTACAGTGCCCACGTTTGCATAGTAGTGGAAAACACATTTCATTGTTTATAAGCTCTCACTGAAGAACTTCAATGTTTGCCACTTCTCAATACCCATCTAATGTTCTAGAAGATTGCGACACAAATGTGAAATGCCATCATTCATCCAAATGCAGATGATGTTTTAAATGTGAGCGCGTTTCTAAGAAAGAAAGCACATTTCCCTAATGAGCTTGTACTCGGACCAACAACTTTCGGGCACTGTGGTTCACTCGAGGCTACCTTGTGTATTTCCACAGAAATTGAATTATTCCACTTCTGACCAGTGCGCCTTCAGCATTTCTATCAAGTACCTTCTTATAAACCCCTGCTCGGACTAAAACACAGAACGACATGCGCGTGCTGTCATGGAGAACTCACCCCCATGACTTATAACCAGGGATGCTTCGTTGATGTCTCTTGTCAACGAATCCTTGAAGTTATAGCTTTCCACAGATGGTTCAACGTTGCCATCAACTTTCGGTGTGTTCCCTTTGCCAACTTGAAGAAGAACTTTCGTGTAACCTTGGTTCTTTAATACCTGCATTAAAGGCACGTGCATTCGAAAAAGGTAAAATGTTTTCGTATAGTATGCAAGCTGTGATGCTCTGTATGCGTTAATCGGTGCGAAATGCAAACTCACAGCTAGCACCTCCGGCGATACAACGGTCTCAATGAGCTCGTCGAATGATGTTGTTCCCACAGTAACAAATACGGTCTTCATTTTCAGGGCTAGTGACGGCGCCGTTCCATGGGCTTCCGACGTGCCTGCGTGGACATCGATAGCGTAAACACAACCAACACGATAAAAAGACAAATAATTAAATCAAATATATTAGCGGGTACATCCTAGATTAAGTAATTTGTTCATAAGCAACGCAAAAACTGATTGCAGTGCACTGGGATATAATTAGCCGCGACGTCATGTTACATTTTTTTTTTCTTTCGTGCACGTACGCCCGCGTAGGATCAAGTTGCCTTTGCATACCTCAGTCTCCGCAGTCGACCAGCGAGCTTCAGGTTACTCGCGGACGCTGTCAGTATCGAAATACAATCACCAGGCGATTCCCTCCAGGTACAGTCCTTCGCGTCATGCAACAGGACTTCACTGAAGCCTAGCAACCAAAACCGAAACTCTGCCAGTGCCTCCTGCGTACGTGCCCGATGCGTGCGTATACGCCTACTCTCGTTCCAAGGAAGCTGCCGTCGCTAGGAAGCAAAACATACAAAAAACAACAAACTGGGGGTATTGTGTTGTTCCAGCGCCTGCCATGGCGGAAGGGTGGATAATCGCTCCGTGGTGACAAATTCATTTCCTTCGTACCCTTGGGCTTGCCTGCTGATCGTTGGATTGAAGATTAGACCCGCTATGCATCGTACGTAATTAGGGTAAGCGACACTGCGTTTTCATCCTTGTTGTCGTCCCATTTCAAGTGTTTGCCGGGAGCGCCGATCATGCCGACCTCTCAGTACGTGTGAAGTGCGAATGTCGAGAGAAAATGTAACCGTGTTAGTCATCTCTTAAATATTGTTCTATGCGAAGTGTCGACGCAGCGATGCAGTCGTCTTCGTTTCGAAGACACCGCGTTGATTAGCGAGAACTGTTCGTTTCCTAGCCCTGAATTTCGCCAATATCGGGACCTGCTGCTGCGCTCTTATCATTGTGCAAGGATTTGTGGTTTGTAAGCACGCGACGCGCGAAGGCCCAGATTCTGTGGCTCCCGTGGGCGCGTGACATTGCTCGTGCATTTCATTCCAGATTTCTTGAGGCTGGACCCGGCCGCTGGGCACGGCAATTCTTCCGATGCGTGCCAAGTGACGAATTCAACGCATCTTTTCGCTGCGGCTGTAAGCACTCCTGCTTTCTTATCAAAGTATCCTCGTTTACTGCGCGTCTCCGTGTCGCGCCGCTTGCCTTTCGTCGATTGCTTGTTCTAGTTCACTACGCCCGGAATCGTGAATCACGTCGATGGCTTCGGCTGTGGGATTTGCCCAGGGTGACGCTTTTAGCTTCGTCGCGCTGTTGTCTCTGTCGTCGCTTCGCGAATACCGACGGCCAATGCTTGGTTGCCTCGCTGTTCTCGAAGCGGGGGTTAGGAAAATGCAGCCGACCGCAAAAATGCTTGCTTGACCGAGCACATATTGTGCTTCGTCGCTGCGTTGGTTTGTAATGAGCAGCGCGCAGCGTTGCGTTCGGACTGCGATTCCACGCTGCGCGCTTTTTTTTTTTATTTAACAAGAACTTCGTTTAGGAAGCGAGCAAAATTTTACTGAGCTAGATTATTATGTGCTTTAAGGCTTCCAACAGTATTACGGCCATCAGGCCGCAGCCCTAGCGTTCACGTGCATCTTTTTTTCTTATTTCCTTTACCGGTTGTGCAGTTCATATAGTTGCATAGTTGCGTGCAGCGAATGGAGAAGTCTTGTTTTACCCTGTCAAAGCGTGCCGTTGCATTTAAATTGCGAAGCAGCATTCAAAGTGTCACCTCTTTCCTTCTTCCAATATTGTGTTCATGCTATTGCTGATTTTTATTAGTATGTCTGCTTTAGTGATGTTTTTTTTTGTGTGAACATGTGCGGTAGTGAAATAAAATAGTGTTATGAGCGGGATTTAACAATTTTATCATCTTGTTTTTTGAAGGATATGGCTGCAATTGCAGGATTACATCGATTAAGCATATAAGAGTTTAGTGTTCCTATCTGCTGTATATATCGCATCACCACCCATGTGTGTGTCAGTATGTAAGCGACAAGCTGAGCTCGTTAGTTCGAATTATAATTAAGTTTTTTGTAATGATAAAGAGCATTTGGCGATCTCTTATGTGCATTTATTCCCATAATTTTAGCAATAGTGTCTGTACCACTGCTTGTTTTCGGCTAGTTCGTCCAAGCAGAGGTGTGTACTTTAAAACTTTTATTTGCAAACCAATCTTATCTGTATATCTATCTCATCTTCCTTATCGTATCCTCTGACTTTCTTGACGAGGAAGTTCCCAAGTCATCATTGTAGTTATATTTTGCCCTTATTACTGTTTCTGTGCCCATAGTGAACATTTGGGGCACAAGAAAAGTAAGCAGGGCGAAAGGAAACTTTGAGGTTGATTCGTGAATGCTCTCTTCATTTGTTCAGGAAGCTTGTTAATTTAAGGCAAGACCACATAAACAATGAAAGAAGTCTTAAGGTAGCATTGTAAATATGGGCCTTAAGACAGTGAGAAAAGTATTGTAATGCAATATGGTATTTGGAACCGTCCGAATATTATTGGCATTTCCAAGTGTTGAAGTCCTAAATGATCTTTGCAATGCGGTACATGTGTAAGCACACAATAAACAAAGTCTAAGGAGGGGGGGGGGGGAACTGTGCACAAAAGTCCGTTCACTCATGCACTTCAAAAGTGAAAAGGCTTTTTCAGCGATTTTCAAATCACTTAGTCAAACTGTGACAACACCCTCAATCTCGTTTAGAGCAACAGGATTTCAACCTAAGGAACATTTTAAAATGTGATAGCAGATCCTGTGTTGCTATTTTATCAGTCGGCTTGTTCCATTTTCCAGTAATACTGAACAGTGGCATGGGCGAAACCCTCATGCACAATTTTTTAAGAGAAAGCTTGCGTGTCCGTTACACTTTTTAAACTGTGCCTGCTTGGTATTGTTTGGCATTCCATCTTAACCCTCCCCCCATCAAAGAAAAAAAGTATTACATGGGCCTCTTACTACCTTCATGGTGAGTTGGTACTAGTTGCAAAGCCACAGAGATCCGTTACCTAAGCTTTCAGTCTTTATGGAAACAACTTCACTTTTGACCATGCAGGCCATGGAGGACCAACTTCTCTCTCCTGGTAGTCAGAGCACCCAGTGGAATCACTCTTCGGGCCTTGTCAAGGGCCAACCAAAGGCAAGTGCCCAAAAAGAGTGGCCAGTGTTTCTGGGCACTGTCTTGAAGTTTAAGCCACATTATCAGACTGTTGTGAGCAAGGAAGCTTGGGTTTACTCGTGGTGCACACATTTTCTTCTCGGAGGTGAGCTGGAAGTAGTTGTGCATGGACTAAGTGCATTTTAGAGAATTTGTGGGTGAAATTAATCCGAAGTCTCATATTGTCGCAAGCCCTATAGTCATATTGTGGTTCCTGCATGTGAACCCCTTGAATGTGTAGTGGGCATGGGACAGATTGACTGACTGCGAGACAAGACGTCCGTGCGGTAAAGTTGTTTTTTCTTCGCCTGGGCCGAGCTGCAGCGACACGCGAGTACGGGCCTCCGCCAGGAGAGAAAGAGGAAAAGCGTACAAGGGAGGATGTTTTATGTATATACAAAAGCACAGTGTAAGAGTTGACACACAGAGTTAAGTTGAGGGCGCATAGTTTATTTAACGGGGGGGTGTGGAGGCGCGCGTTTAGACGCTCACCACAGGGCTCCCCCCCTGAGAAAGGAAGCCGAAGTGACGAACAATAAGTTAGCTCCAGTTAACGTGGCGAACCGGAGGTACTTCGTGTTTGTTGTAAAGATCTGCAGGCATTGTAAAAGGACAGGTAGCAGATGCTGAAATGCAAGAAACCGGGCCATCTATGTATGCTGGCTTCAGCCGCTGCTCGAGTGCGATTGCATCACACTTTCCGTTAAGATCCATGATCAAAGATGAGGAACGGCGTTCGAGTACACGGAAGGGCCCAAGATAATGTGGTCGCAGGGTACTGCGCACGGGGCCGCAGCACACGAAGGCATGCGTCGCTTTGTGGAGGTCTGGATTCACGTAAACAGTCCGTGAGTGGCTTGCTCGCGTTGGCTGTGGTCGAAGGTTCCGGAAGATATCGCGCAGTTTGTCAAGTACTCGCTTGGTGTGGGGGTGTCTAGTTGAGTTTAGTGGCATCAAAGAAATCTGCCGGTAAACGAAGAGGGGCTCCATAAACAAGCTCAGCACTGGCGCACAACAGTTCTTCCTTGAACGCAGATCGGATTCCCAGCAACGGGAGAGCCTTGAGCCACTTGACCGTAGGACCATGTGCTGTAAATGCTGATTTCAGGTGATGATGGAAACGTTCTACAAGCCTGTTTATTTGTGGATGGTAAGAGGTAGTTCGCAGTCGCGCCACTCCCAGCAGCTTGAGAAGTTTCTTCAAAAGCGATGACTTGAACTGGCGGCTGCCGTCACTGACGATTGCTGTGGGGCAGCCATATCGCGCCACCCAAGTAGAGACTAAAGCATCGGCCACTGTAGCTGCTGTGATATCGGGGATAGGCGTAGCCTCAGACCATCGAGTGAAGTGGTGAACACAAGTCAATATATACCGGTAACCTTGACAAGAGGGAAGGGGGCCAACGATGTCGACGTGGACCACTTCGAAACGTTGATCAGTTTGCAGAAAACGCTGAAGGGGGGGGGGGCTGGGTAACGATGTACTTTGGCACGCTAACACGGTGTGCACGCACATACCCAGTCTCGAACGTCAGCGTTCATGTGAAACCAGACGAAGCGTGATTTGATGAGCCTTTGAGTTGCACGAATTCCAGAGTGTGAAAGGTTGTGCAAAGAATCGAATATTTTCTTACGAAAAGCGATAGGCAAATATGGTCTCTTTGTGCCTGTAGAGGTATCCCAAATGATTGGAACATTTTCAATAGAGGCTGTATCCAGCTTCAGTGATGTTTGCGTATCCCGTAGGTGAGGTAGGTCTGAGTCGTCTGTCTGTGCTCTTGCCAGCACACGTAAATCGACTGGATAGGACGACGAAACTGATGTTTTGGAACGAGGTGCGTCTGACAACGTCCACGCGGCTAAGTACATCAGCAGGAGTGTTATCCACGCCGTTGATGTGCCGGATATCTTTCGTGAATTGTAAGACTAAGGCAAGTTGACTCATTTCCCGTGGCGTATACAGTGATGCAGTACGGTCCATTGAACAGGTAAGCGGCTTGTGACCTGTGAAAACTCAATGCTCTGCCTTTGAGTGGGTGGCGACAGTGATGTACTGCCAAGCAGATTGCGAGATGTTCCCGACCGAAAACGCTGTATCATGTTGGAGTAGGAATCATGTGTTTTGAAAAGAACGCAAGTGGTTGCCATGCACCGTTGACCTTCTGCTGTAGAACAGCTCCTAGCGCTGTGTTGGAAGAGTCAGTCATGAGTGCTAGCAGGCACTCTGGTTGTGGGTAAGCGAGTAAAGTGGCTTTGGCCAAGGTGCGCTTGATGGCACCAAATGCGTCATCCGCAGCAATGTCCCATCGTAGTGCTTTTGCTGAGTGCTTGCAGCAAAGCATACGGTCTAGGGGTTCCAGTAGTGTGGCGCAGTTTTTGATAAAGCGGTGGTAAAAGTATACGAGCCCAAAAAACTGGTGGAATTTTGGGGTTGACAATGGTTTTGGAAACTCGATGATGCCTTGCACTTCGTGAGGAAGCGGGCAGATGCCGTTGGTGTCCAAGTAATGACCAAGGAATTCGAGGGCTTGTTGTCCGAATCTGCTCTTTTCCGTGTTGATGAATCTGCCACTGGATTTCGGGGATAGGCACGGACAAGATAAGTTTTTGTAAAGATGGTTGTGCCTTGGAGAGCTGAAGGGAAGTCCTGTATGTTGGGCAGTGGGTACCGGTCCGGAACAGGCTTGGTATTCAGAGACCGGTAATCCCCGCTTGGCCTCCAATCCGCAGACTTCTTGGGGACAAGATGAAGGGGAGATGACCAGCTACTAGAGGAGGGTGTGATGATGCCGAGATTCAGCATGTTTGAATTCCTAACGAGCCACCTTGAGTTTGTGTGGAGCTAGACGTCGCGGTCGAGAGAACACAGGTGGTCCTAATGTCACAATGTGATGCCGAATGACATGGCACACTGGTTGAGTCCAGTTCGGTGGTAATGTTAGCTGAGGAAACTCTGCTATGAGGGCTGCAAATGGCTCTTTGGCAACTGTGGTGCATGAGAGTGCCATATATGTAGTTGCGCGCACTGCGAGTCCATGAATACAGAGTTTAGTTGCAGAGTCTATTAAGCGCTTTTCTTGACATCGACGAGGAGTGCATGTTGGTTTAGAAAGTCAGCACCAATTATTGCAGAACCAACATCAGCGACCTAAAACACCTAGCGGAAGATTCTTCAAAGCCCCAAGTTGAGGGAGTTTTACAGAATGTTGCTTGTACATAGGAATGTTTGTTCTGTTGACAGCTTTGAAGTGAAACAGTACAGTGGAGGTGCATCTTGCTTTTGTGGCTGGCAGGACACTCACTTGGGCTCCTGTGTCAATCACAATCTTGTGTTTGGAAGTTTGGTCAAAAATGAGGAAAAAGCGACACTCTTCTTTGCGCTGATCGCTCGTCGCCGCTAGTGGTCGGCCGTTGAGTTTTCCGACCATATGCAAGGCAAAAGGCAGCAGCGGGCATTTGCACCAAAGCGGCGATGGTAAAAGCACATTCTTGGACCTGGGGAGCCAATTCGCCCTTGCCGCCGACGATCAGGCGTTGAAGAACAACGACGTTGGCGCTCACGATGTGCGGATGTCTCCGAGTAAGGTGCTGCCACGATGAAATGTTCCAGCCGAGCACAAAGGCGGTCAAAATCGAATGGGCCAGCGGTAGTGAGTGTAGGGTTAGGTGGCTGAGCAGGGCTGGCAGGAGGAGTCAGTGGTGTCAATTGCGTAGGTGTACTGATGAAGGCGACTGAGAAACTTGGTGTCGCCACCTCCATCGGCCAGTGCAGCCTGTGACGTCAAATCCATGGCCGTGGCTGTAGCAAGCACCATTCGGACCTGGGACGGCAGTTGCTGGAGAAAAAGTTCACTTAGTGCTGCAGTGTCCATAGTTGTCGCAATAGTGCCGAGAAACTGCGTCATTCGCTGCAAAAGCTGGCTTGGACGTTGGTCATGGAAGGAAGGAAATTAAGAGGAAAAGAACGGCAGGGAGATTAACTAGTCTATAGGCAGCCGGTTGGCTACCCTGCGTATGAGAGGGGGATGGTGGAGATGAAAGATAGAGAGGAGAGAGCGAAGAGAGACCTTCTCTGCGTGGAGTAGCTGCTGTATTTTGGTTCTCTCCAACGCAGCAGTCCTTTCTAGGAGGGCTGCCTTGAGCTGGTCGTATGGTCTTGCCGGGGGACTGTCGCGAAATAAGGTAATTATGTCGATGTTGAGGGGAGTGCGCCGACCACGTAGTGAAATTGCCGCTGTTGCGTGGCGATTCTTGGTAGCTGGAATTGAGATTCCACTAGCACAAACCACACGGTAGGGTTGCGTTCCCAGTATGGCAGAAGACTGCAAGTGACGGTGGAGACAGCCTCACTGGATGGATCGGTCTCTGGCATTGTTTGGTTGGGGGTGGGTGTATGAACTTGATGCTTCATTTTGGAAGATCCGTGCGATGGTGTACGATCTTTGTCAGTTGTGAGACGCACGGCTCTATGTTACTTAGGTGCGTTTAACAAAACCGGGTCACGAATTGTAGAGGGCATGCCGCGGATTGACTGACTGCGGGACAAGACGTCCGTGTTTTATGGTTCTTTATTCTCTGTCTGCCGAGCTGCGGCGGCACGCGAGCGCAAGCCGCTGCCGCGAGAGGGAGAAGGAACGAGAGGCGGAAGAAAGTGTACAAGGGAGGATGTATTGCATATATACAAAAGCACAGTGTAAGAGATAGCACACACAGTAAAGTTGAGAGCACATAGTTTGTTACGTGGCTGTGCGGAGGCACGTGTTCAGACGCTCACCACAAACTGACTGATCTTGAACTTGAAAAAGGAAAAGGTGCAATTTTAATGTTTCAACACAAAGCTGTTGAATGTGCTACCTACTCTGAACTTCACGTGTTTCTTTTTTGGGTGCATAACTGATGCCTCACGGCCACTGACACGAAAAACACTAGTTAAATCCCAGCTGCGGAAGTCGTGTCTTGGGGGAGTCTAAGCTAGAGGCTGAT